TGATCTTACCCAGATTCAAACGCGCTGTTTACAATCAGCTTAAAATAGTGTTTTTTGACTTTGGTTGCTTGTAGCTTGGGCTAGACTCTGAAGTTAGGCTAGCCTTTCTCCTGTTTGTTTCTGGAAGGCTTCTCCTGGATCGATCGGGTCAACCGCCATCTCTCCATAGTCCATGGGACTTCCTTCTTTGCCTCTTCTTCAGGGCAGCTTCTGGCCCATTTAGGGTCCCCTAACAGGAAGAAATTCAGCTAAAGGGCACGTAGCCCCGAAATCCCTTGGCTGCTGTGCTACTGCTCAAGACCAGAAGTCTACCCCTTATCATTTTTGTTGCTCTTCTCTGCACATTTTCTAGAGTCTCAGTATCTTTTTTGTATCGTTTGTATTCCAAGTGTGGCCTCAGTAGTGCAGTATAAAGTGGTACCATCACTTCTTGTGACCTTGATTTTATTCTTCTGTTGATGCAGTTTATGACTACATTGGCTATCTTGGGAGCTGCAGCACATTGCTGGTTCATACTTAAGTGGTATACTAATTTATTCTCATTTTACATATATTGAAAAAAGTGCTTCCATTGTTGGTTTTGTAAGGGTGTGTATGCATGCTTGTGTAAAAAATCTGTTCCTGTATTATTTGTGTGGAAAGGTTATTGTTTAATCTTCTATAAAGGGACTACAATCTTATTTATGTTTAACTGAAGTTAATTTGGCGAGACCCATTCTGAATAGGCATGCAGAGAATAGATTTGTTCAAATAATTCCCTTGCTTAATTCTGCATAGACATGCAGTGAGTAATACCCTTGCTTATTTCTGGGGCAGACTTATTTGAAAGTCTGATTTGGTTGATTTTCCCAAAGGCTTCTTTAGGGCCTGACAAACAAAGTACATAGTAGGTCTAGTTGTTGCACAAAAAAATATTGCTTATTGTGTTGCTTTGTTTCAGGGACATAGCTATGTACCTTTATTGAATTCTGAAATGTTGTGACTTAGGTGGGCATATGTCTTCTTTGTTCACATGAAATGTGCTGTCTGGCAGCATTGATTTGAGTAAGGGATGAACAAATATTAGGCAGAAAAGTAAGCAGTAAAGATCTGGTCCAAAAGAACTAAACTATCTGTGTTACACAGGCTGCCCTAGATAGCTCTAAGAAGGAGAAGTCAAGACCACTTTCCTTATATTGTCAGGGGAAAAAATCAAATCAATCCTGCATATAAGGACATTATGTATGTAAATGAATGCCCTTAGCTCTGTGCCAGCATAATTATTACAAACACGAGGAATATTTCTATTTCTGTTAGAAATAGAAATTAAGCTACTATTTAAAAGAAATGAAAATATTTGCATACAACTGGCACATGTCTGATTGGATGTTATATGGAGCATAATTAGCAAAATCCAGTAAGCATGTTCTATGTTCCTGCCTGAATGGTTTATGGGAAATGATTTGATAAGATAAAATAACCGAGCCAGCCTCCCTTCAGTGTCAGCTATAAGGATGACCCTGGCACTGGCATAAAAGTTTTGTCACACTACTTTTTATCCAATATGACTGATCGATAAAAAAAAATCTACATATTTTACTACCACAAACATTGGAGGGTATAGTCCCTATATAATAATACAACTAAACTATCAAGAAAGTGCAGCATTATAAAAATGGCTTAGTTTTGAATTGGCCTATTCAATAACTTTTCTGCTGTAAAATGTGCTGTGTACAATTTTGACAGCAAGAAGAATGCCGGTGATAAGATAATGGAGAGTATTATTGTATTCTTTCATATATTTCTCAGCTTTGAAGTCTTCAGTTCTGCCTGCTAAAATATAGATGATGCACCTTTCTATCCAGCATATCTCAGCTTTGGGCATACTTTAAATGAAAGAGTCAGGTTGCCAGGCTCTTTTCATTTTAATTACAGAAACTCAGTATTCTGCTATCCCAAAAATGCTGTGCCTGGCTGATTGCTAACAAGTTCAGCGGAGGGTACAAGCTCGCTGATGAACAGCAAAAGATAGTATTGTAAAGAGGAACACTAGATCAAAAGAACAAGTTCTTTCTGTTCTTACTAGTTTCTGAAAGTAGTAGCACAGTTTTTTTTGATAGGAGTTCTTCAAACTAATTTTGACTCATTTCTTATTTATTTATTGGATTTAAATTTGCCCTTTAAAAAGCAACAAGAATATAAAATATAGGTAAGTGACACTGAAACCGAAATAGAGATAAAATCCCCGTGTTTGGTAAAACAAAACAAACGAACAATTATATTTAACAGTTAAACGTTTGGCAGAAAATATGTGCTTTTAGCACCTCCAAAATATTGGGGTATTAAGGACCAGATCCATCTCCCTCGGGAATACATTCTTCAGCCTGCGAATCACACAGGAAAAGAAACTTTCAAGCGTATCAGATGGATATAATTCTAACAGTGGAGATAGTCTTCAAAGTGGTTCATTGAAGAGACCAGGAAGGTTCCATATAATATAAATGATCCTACACATAGAAGAATACTGAAATGGCCTTAAAAAGGAATTCAGTAACCTTTATGTAAAAATCAGCTCAGCCAGGATATTTAGAAGGGAGTGAAGAAAAAACTTAAGATTGGCCAGCTTTGATATCCTTTAGAGGAGGGGAAGAGAGAGAGAAAATCTCTCTCAGGTTTTCAAGATTCTTATTTTATTCTATGGCAGTGTTTCCCAAACTTGACAATTTTAAGGCATGTGGACTTCAACTCCCAGAATTCCACAGCCAGCATTGCTGGCTGTGGAATTCTGGGAGTTGAAGTCCACATGCCTTAAAATTGTCAAGTTTGGGAAACACTGTTCTATGGCAATAAAGTAGCATTCCTGATACCTCTTTCCTGAACTTGCTTACTTCAAAAGGCTGACACATAGTCAGGACTTAGTGTTTAGGGTCTTGAAAGTCAGGGCCAATACCTTGTGGGCAACTGTGGACAACTTTCCATATAGGATTGATATCATCCCTATATTTGTCTAGTCTGGCTGCCACATTTTGTACCAATGACAATTTCTAGATGTTTTTCAAGAATGCTCCAACATACTCTACTTTGCAGTAATGAAGGTGGTTGACACCCAAAATATAGGTAATTGATATTAAATCTAGCTAACTCAGAAAGGGTCACAGCTGGAAAAGAGTTCCTTGACACAGCCATATTTACAAATCCAAGGAGAGTTTGCATTTGTAATCTGCAAAGCTGTTCTTTCTGAGAGAACACAAACTGCTCTGAGCAAACTATTTCAATTCAAAAAAAGATCAACTTTTTTTTTATCAACACAATCCTCAATCTTTTTGGATTTAGTTTCAGTTTGTTTTCTGTCACCTGGCTCATTACTGAGGTTGGACAACATTGTATTGATTACTCTCCTGGATTAGAAGATAAGAAGATTAGAAGAACTGAGTGTCATTGGCCTATTGATAACATCCAGTTCAAAAACTCTTACACAGAAGTTACACAAACTGAGCAACTCCCTGTTAGAATTTGAAAATCATGACTCTGAATATGTCAATACTAAATTCAGATTGTTTTATTTTTCCATATATAAGGTATATGTGTATGCATGCAGTACGTTAGAAACTGACACATTAGCATTTCTTTTTAAAAAGTTGATGAAAGAATAACCTGATCTTGTGATATTTATGTAATGGCAATCATATATCTAGTTACACACAGCTAGAGTATATGATTCATGATACAGAAATAATGCAGAATTTAAGTGAAACTTCAGAAATGTGAATATGGTATGTTTTCTTTCTAATGGACAGATACTTACAGATGGACAGATTTATAAAAACACTTCACTCGTAAATTATAATTAAGGTGGCATACATCATATAAAATAATTTTCAAACAATAAAATAAAAGATAAATACAACATAGACCACTAACAAATCACAATAAACACACAAACACAGGCTAGCTTTGCTGCAAGTTTTAGTTCAGTAGCATCTTGAACCTCTTCCGGACTCTCTTTCCTGCTTTTGACCAAATACATAATAGCTAGTGCAAACATTCAGGATTAAAAGCCATTGATGAAGGGAGTTTAAGAAAGCAGCACTGAAGAATTATAAAAACCAAAATGTTCATCCCTTCTTATTTCTTTCTTATTAATATATATCATCAAATCAACTCTGATTGACCACATAGATAGACTTTTTCTGTGGTGTGATGTTCTGTCCTATCAATAGCAACCAGTTTACTAAATAGTAAGAACCAGATGTTATTTTACTTCATTTGTACTAGCATCTGCTGTTGTTGGTAGGCTAAAGATACAAACATTTCATCATCAGTTTGGGTGTGTGCCAGTAAATATACTAATAACATTAAGCATATTGCTACCCTACTAGACTTTTTGAAAGAAATGAAGAAATAAAATTTATTGAAATTATATTTATTTATTAGATGTATGTGTCACCCATCTCGTTTAGAAAAGACTTTATTTGAAAAGTCTTTCATAAAACAAAGTGGCAAGAGGATCATAGCTACAGTATATGAAAACAAAACTAAAACAATTAAGTCATCTAATGTTCTTTTAATTTTTTTTACCATAATGCTTCCCCTCATTGAAGTGCATATTAACGATATATATGCCGTATTGTAGTTTAAGAAGTTTCCAGCAGACACAGTTAAACACTGCAACATTGCTGGTTAGATTTTTTAAAAAATCATTCTTTGTGAATGCCCTGGGTTAATTTAGACCTCAGAAAACACATTAGGAAATTAAACAGTAATGCAAGCTAATTCAGATTTTAATTTGTCAAAAAGAACGATCTAGCGACATAGTTAATGTAAACAGAGGCACAGCACAGAAAAATTAATGAGGTTTCCCTTTCATTGAATCTTCAAGGAGTGTAGATAATTAGCTTCTTTTGTTATTATTGCAGGAAAATGCAGCATTGTCTGGAAGGTGTAAAATAGCTGTGGCTTCCTAAGTGATAATGTGTTTCATTTGTCTTCTCCTAATAATTATTTACATTAAACTCTTCTAGGATGATGCTGCACAGCCACTGAATCTCTCTGCTAGACCCAAGACAGCAGAACCTGTCAAATCCCCGACGTCGCCAACGCAGAGCCTCTTCCCTACGAGTAAAACCAGCCCTGTGAATGTGGCCAATAAAAGTGGAATCCCCAGTCCTATTGGCATGACTCTGGGAAGAGGATCCTCTCTAGGTACTCAAAAAGGAACAAATCTGGGTCATTTCAAATAGGGATGAGAGGTCTCTAGTCTTCTCCTGTGGGCCTAGTTTCATGTTATTTATTTTTTTTTTTTGCAGAACCAGGTATATTCAAGGTTTCTTAACATTTACAAGGTCTTTGACATTTATTGCATGAATCTCTGTCATATTTATTAGGCCTTTGATTTTTATTTTATCTCAATAGATTTACATGGGAATCTATGAGGGAAAGTAGTCCTTTCAATATACTTTAAAGGATAAATTAAAGGTAAATTTTAAAAAAAACATAAATTCTTTGAGTCATGCTTTATTAGATTTAATATAGCCACCCACTCCAATGGATTACCATTGGAGTGGGTGGCTATATTAAATCTAATAAATAGTCATAACAAATAGGGAGGCTTGGTTCTTCACATCTGAGGCTAAAGAGTTGTTTCAGATGGGGCATGGCCTTCTTTAAGGAGGTCCTATTAAATCTATCAGGTCCTCCGTAAAGCTGCATCTTTTCCTGGGTTCATACAGTAGCTACATATTCCCTGGAGGCACTGGTAGCACACCTATCCTCTTTCCAAACACCTCCTTAACTCAAAGGCAAAATTTCCTGGATACACATAGATTCTCTATGGAGAATTTCAAATTTATTCAATTTATTGGTACAGTCATTTGATTTACTTATTATTCAAATTTATTTATGTGCCCATCTCTCCCAAAGGGGGCTCTGGGCAACGCAGAGCAATAAATAAGTCAGCCAATGCAAAACAGATAAAAATCTAAAAAGTCAATAGCATCAAAAGCAAAAATGTCATGGAAGAACTCTGTGGAGATTGATTTGTGACTGACTTCTTTCAGGATATTTTCCCAGTCCAAATGCTAACCAGTCCCAGCCTTGGTAGATAGACAAGATCAGGTCAAGTAAATAATAAAGATACTACTGAAAATGTAAACAGTCTGAAAACTGTAATAGAAATAAATCAAGGTGCGCAGTGAAAAATTGGGACTAAGATTAAATATAAAGATGACCAAACTAATGACAATAAACACAACAACCAAATTTAGAATTAACAATGAATATATTAAAGGGCAGAAGCCAGACACCACTTTAGGATCAAATGCCAACAATAAAGAAACAGCTATTGGACATACTGCAGACTGGTATGCAGAATAACAAAATAATGGCTGTGGGGAAAATGTTCAGATGTCCTGATATGCCTATAACTACAAAGATCAGAATAGTGCAGTGATATTCCCTAGGACAGTCTATGGAAGTGAACATTGGATTTTGAAGAAGTGAGATTGAAAAAGTAATGACATGTTTGAATGTTGAAGTTGGGAAAAAAACTCCCGAGAATACCACAGATAGCCAAGAAAACAAAGTAATCAATGAACAAATCTCCAGAATGTCACTTAAGGCACAAATGACCACTCTCAAATTATCCTGCTTTAGACCTATTATATGAAGACCTCTAGAGAGGGCTCTGATGCTAGGAAAGTTGGAAGAAAAGAGAAGACACTCAGCAAGGTGGACAGACTCAGTTATAGTAGCAATATAGTATGAGGTTGGAGCCAATTCATCCTGAAGAAAACCTATCTATGTGGTTGCTCAGAACGGATACTGATTTGTTGTCCCATTATTAACTATTAATATTTCAATGTATCTGCAAAAAAACAAACAAACCCAGAATGTAAAAATTTAATAAATGTTGATGCATGCTTTTGTTGTCCCATGCAAGGAGTAATTTCCAAGCACTCTACAAAGCCGTCGTCCAAAAAGCATACTGCAATAATCTACATACAGTATATTGTGATTAAATCATATATTATAATGGCCAATCTAAAGTCTCAAGAAACCTAACCAGTTGGCACACCTATCTAAACTGGGTAAAGGCATGTAGCTGAAATATTCCTAACACTAAATTATTTTTATGGTTTGATCGAAACGTAGACAAGTAATCTTTTATACAATTAAATCCAACATTGGAAGTAACAAGTATTTATTTTAATAGCCGTACACACTTGCTTCTCAGTGTCTCTGATCAGAGCCGGAATTAAAATATATTGTATCAATTCTTTTACAGCTTTGACTGTAACATGCCATTTCATGGTTACAATGTCTTGAATCCAGGATTATTCAAAATATGCACTAGATTTAAAAGAGCATCCTAGAAAGTTTGCTTCATAGCTATACCTCACTCTCCGTTTCAAAAATTGCTTCATTAGATGCTTTCTATGAAAAAAAAATTCTTTCAAGTAATGTAAGGCTTTATCTTCCTTTATTTCTCATCTCCAATCACTGAATATTGTGGTAAAAATTGAACTGGATTTATTTCTTTTATGTTCTATAAGGTTCATGGTTGAATGTAGTTAACATGAATGTTCTGGGTTCAGCTTGACAGCTTCATAATGGAAAAATAAATGAAACAGCAATGAATTATATCAGTTATCACTTGGAAATATCAACCTCTATAAGAAAACATAATATGAATTTTTCTTGAACATCAGTTAAGATTTACAAATACATTTACAAACACAAAGCAAAAATCATGTGTAGGTACATTTTGATCCTTTGTGCTAGGATTGAAAAATACGCTGAAATTCTCACTTTAAAAGGCATCAAATGTTTTGATTAAATCATTAATATAATAATAATTTCTGTTAATTGCTTCAGGAGAGGTTATCTCTGATTAAACATCGCTCAGAATGGAAAACAAAATTACAGCTGTTGCCCAAATCTAAAATTACTATCCATTTTAATGTTAAAGATACAGGCTTAAATATTTGCAGCAGCTGAAATTACAATGTTTGTGTGTGTGTGGATATAAATCTCTTGAAAAGAGGATATTTTAATGCACTCTTATAATCCCTTTCTTTCTAGACATCCTTTCCAGTCTTAACTCACCTGCCCTATTTGGGGACCAGGACACTGTAATGAAAGCAATTCAGGAGGCTCGAAAGATGAGAGAACAAATCCAGCGGGAGCAGCAGCAACAGCAGCAACCACATATTGATGGAAAGCTTCCCAACCTGAATAATATGGGCCTAAACAACTGTAGAACCGAAAAGGTAACACAATAGCTCTTCCACCCTTGTTGCTGCTAAATTTATTTGCCTGGTGAATAGCTATTTAATTCCAGAAAGTTACAGTTTTTAATCACTTTTCACATTGACGTGTGCGATGTAGGTCCAGGAGGGGAAAAAAAATTAGATTGGATTGATCAGAAGAAGATTTTTCCATGAGGAAGATTTACACAGGGCTCCAATGGCACCAACAGGGAATATCATTTCCCCTCCCCCCCATTCTGCACCATATGAGAATCAATGTAGGTATCGCAAGTTGGCCAAAGTTTCATTTGAAGAATGGCAGATGGTTAAGATAGGTCAGGAGGAACTAAGAGCCCTGTTCCCACCTCCACTCAGTCATATTCTGTGAATGCTGTCCCAGAAAACTTTAGGCTTCTTATATTAAGTTCCCAAGTTACAGAAATATTGTATGGTACAAATAGTAGCAATATGGATTAGAGTTGTCTTTCTTGAAGGATACTGGGCTCCATTTGTCTAGTATCTCCTTTCCAGTGACATACTCCCAATAACCCCAGTAGGAATATATAGAGAATTCTTCCTGCTAGTTGTCACCCTGTCTTCTAATTGGTATTTGATGTCATACTACTAGGGCATGCAAGGTTACCTGGCAATTCAGTAGAGTCATAATAACTCAGTAGAATTTTCTTTACCTAATTTCTCACAGTACTACAGTATCTTGTCAAATGATCTAACTTGTTTTGGAAAGTAAAAAAATAATAACAGTTCCTTTTTCTTCAGTTTTTTTTGAAACAAAAGGAAAGTATTTCAAGCCATTGATTATTTTCCGCACCTTTTTCATCTCTAAAACTAGGGCTGATCTGTGGCCTACAAAAATCCAGACAACCACTAGGTGGTGGGCAAGAGTCATAGAAAACCCTATATTTTTGCCATCTCCTATTGACGTGAATATTTACAACTCAGATGTACCAACTCTTTTATTAATCAGGGCAGAGTTCTATTTTGTATAGGAAACTTTCATTTAAATTCATCTTCATATGAAGAGAGAGAATGGTTATGTGAAGCGGTGCTAATATATATATGATTTATTGGCCACCTATCTTATTACAGGGTAATTCTGGGCGGTTATATTATTTATATTACCATCTTCCTTCTAATACAACATATTCGGCATGTCTGTACTATATTGTTGTTCAGAATTGAAACTTGCACACTTGATGAAGAGTTCAAAAGACCCAGATGAAGAATGCATGCACAAGCTTTAGCTGGAGCTCAGTTTTTCTCCTCTCTTTGAATAACATTCTGGGGTGCAGTTTAATTGGGAATTCTGGATATTTATGGTATTTTTCATATCAGATGTAGATATTTCATACAAAAGAGTTACATTTTAGAAGAGTCCTTAGGAAAAATAATCTGCATATGTAAGGAGATAGTTTAGTTTGAAGACCTGGACAATTTGTTTGGCTTCGCTTACAGGCTTTTGGACAAACAAACAAGGTAAGTATCAGTTGTGGTGTTTTGGTAGCAAAGTAATGGAAGCAGGCAATTCTCTCTAAGGAATAGAGACATATCTACGAAATAATTAGAGATATAGTATGTCTATAATTTGCTTCTTTGCAGGATTGGTAAGAGCATTATTTAGAGACCACATGAATCATTATTTCCTGTACAGTAATAGTGGACCATATACAATGTTATTATTCTGGATGACTCAGGACAAAAAGTTTTGCAGCCTTTAAGCAGAACACAAGAGCTCTGATTATGAGATAGAGCAGGGGAAAAAGGAACAGATGACCAATAACCTGCATGTTACAATCTTTCACAGTCACATTATCTATCACAATGAAATCTGAAATGAAAAGTGTGGTTTGATCTTGTACAGTAGTGGGATTAATAATACATACACAACTGGTTCTCTGCGTAAACGCCACTTCTGGAACCTGTTGTGGGCCTGGGCCTCCGAGGCTCAGAACAGACTTCCGGAAGTGGTGTCTACACACTTCTGGCAGTCTGTTCTGAGCCTTGCAAAAAAGGGTTAGGGCTTCAGTCGGTTCACCAAAGTCAACAAAAAATTAGCTATCGGTTGTGTTGAACCAGTGCAAACTGGTTGAATCCCACCACTGGTCTTGTAGTAGTAGTTGTAGTAGTTTTTATTACAAATTACTACTATAATATTATCGATCAGGATTTACTGAGTTTATAACTAATGTATGTGTGTTAATATTATACACTCTCTCTGTCTCTGTCTCTGTTTCTGTCTCATAAATAGCCTTGAGAATAGGTCAGGGAAAATATTGAAATGTGTTAATGCTCTTCAGAATTTAAAAAAAAATTCATATCTTGTTACATAAAAGATATACTCAGGAACCTTGGGGGTAATGTACATTGATCTTACTATACTTCCAAATCTTCAGCCTATTATTTGACAGCAGTAACTACCTGATCATGGCTTATCATCAGAATGGCCTCTCTTGCTTTGGTATTGTGAATAAGTAAATAAAAGTAAGCTTAGGTGAATGTTGTAGCATACTTGGACAGATCAATATTGGGTCCTGTGTTATAGTCTACCAAACAGTCTATAAAGTTATATAGTTGATTTTTTTTTTACATTTTATTTGTACTGTCTCAATGCATTTAATAGTTGCCAGTAAGCCAAGAATCTGGGGCACTAGTAGCCATTTTCCAACCCATTCCCAAAGGGAGGAACAAGAGGTCTGAGGTTCATTACTCAGTTGCAAGCATAAAGGGAAAAGTGTTCAGTAGATAGAACTGTCAAATATGTGTTTTCATTTGCATTTATATGTTGCCTTGTTAGATTTCTCAGAGCAACGGGGGTAAAATGGATCCATGCCTATAAAAGGGATTTACATAGCTTCCTGCCCCCAGAGGATTAACCATGGTTTGCAAAACATATTTTATAATCTAATAAATATTTATCTGCACATGATGTGATTTAAATGATAGCATTTTAAAACTCATTTAACACAGAATCCCATTGTGAAATAATTTTTATAACAGCTAGAAAAAAAAGCTGAAAGTGTGATACATGATTTCTTGAGAGTGAAGGTTCATTCTCTGAGCTTGTGGGTTGGTTTCTGAATGTTTTATTACCAGACTGGCTAACATCTTCAGCAGAGTTTAGGGGATGTCAATGTTAGTGTTCTTGTTTATAAGGGCTTTAGGTGTGGGTGTGTCAAGTGAGGTTACATCAGGTCGGGGCCATTGGGAAGTGAACTGGTGGGAGGGGGGCTTGCATGGGTTGGTTGAGGGTCAGTGTTACACCCACATCCTACACCCGAGCTACAGATATTTGCCACTATTGCACACTATTTCTTATTAAAGATGGCCTTATGAGGTCCACAGGCTCTTCTGAAGAACAGATTTCAGTTTGGAAATAACCCTGACCACAGTTAGAACCTTTTATTGGTTGTTTTCTAAATCTGTTTTTCCAAAACTATTGAAAATAAATGAATTCTGCTGTCTTCATGTAGACACTATATTGTTCCAAGTAATCTTTGATACTGCTAATGAGTGCTCTGGGCTAGTTCTGAAGTTAGTCTGAACTTCTGTGACCCTAAAATATTCACTGAGACTATTTGAGCAATCTATCTTTTTTTCCCCCAAATACCTTATGAGCAGTCCTATTTTTGCCTTTTCAGATAATTTATCACTCCATGTTTTTGACTTTTAATCAAGCTAGTAGGTTCTTTAAGAGGAATACCTTTTTCTGACAGTCCACAATCTGCCTTTCTGTCATTTAATAGCATGCCTGTTGTGTCCAACCTGAGCATGACATTTCCTCAATCATACTACAGACTATGGGCCATTCAGTCAGTTTTCAATCATATCCCCCTCCCCACCCTCTTCTTCAAGGCTAAATGAGCACAGTTGTCTTATTTTTTTCTTGTGGGCCTTGGTTTCTACAAATCCATTTTACCTACATTTATCTTTTCTTTTATCTGAAGTACAAGATATGTGGAAAGCTAGCAATCCAAAATAAGCAGTTGAAAGATAATGAAGAATGCTGACTATATTGCTATTTGTTTTGTTTTATATTTTGATCGCACCTTTCTCTAAAAAATACCTTTAAAAAAAAGATAAATGTGTTTTTTTTTTAAAAAAAATAGGAAATCAATGATGTCTTAAAAGATTCACTGGAAGAAAATTATTTTGATGCTCCTTGAAAAGTGATTGGTAACAAGAGTTGGTTTTCATTCATCTTGAGGAATGGTTCCAAAAGTTAGATATCACTTTTTTTAAAGTTAACTTGCCATAGTGAGAGCATTCAGAAAAAGTTCTTAGAGAAGAAATTATGTACTCATGTTTATTGAAGAAGAGCCGATTCTTGATAAACTCTCATCTAAAGATGTTGAATAGAAATCAAGAACCAATCTATTGTTCAAGTGGTTCCATAGTTTCTGTGTGGAAACCTCATGCAATATACAGGTAAAGCACATTATAGTTACTATAATTCTCACTGGAGGTGAGAATGGACAGGAGTAATGTTTGTCATTTAAATTTTGATAAAAGGTTTAACAAATGCACATGTGAATTAGGACACATTATTTCTGTGACAGGTACAAAAATTATATTAGTTGGAATGCATTTATAAAGCATTTATAAATATATTTGTAATAAAGTCATATAGGAATGCATACAAAATAATTATGAATTGTAGGATATATATTGGAAAAGCGAGAAACCAAAATAAACAAAATCTATCTGCCCTTAACTAACTAAATGTTCTGTAGCTTTATTGCTAGGTAGATCTAAAAATGATATTCCGTTATAAATTCAGATCGTAATATAAATATGTAAGGGGTGTTTTAAAACATTCATTTTTTTTATCATTGATGATGTTATAGTCTAGTGGTCAAATGGTTTTGACTTGATTGTCCATAACGGTTCCTTTGGAGGAGATAAACTTCATGGTAGTACAGCATATATAGCAATTCTTTAATGTATAAATTGTTCATTTAGTTAAGTGTAACAACTTTCGGGAACCTATCGTTCATTTGCAGCTG